ACCTGGCCGTAAATAAAGTGCAAAGACCTTTGCTAAAAATTTGAGATCAACCTTTTTTCTGAAATAGATTTGGGCAAAGTGCAACAATCACATTCGATGAAGCATACAACCTCGCCAAACTTTTTCTTATCAATAAAGTTAATTATTCGGATAGTGGTCAATGAAAGTCAACGTTACTAGTTAGCCAAATTGCACTAATATCCCTGGAATATGGGAAGCTGGGGCCTTATGGAAAGAATTAGGGACAGCCACTCTCACAACTCTCACTAGTTATTAGTAAACATGTTGTTGAAACGTTGACGTATCAATCCATTCCAACAACTTTTGTAGTTGAATATACAGTGTCCCAAAAAAATGTGAACACTGTTTGATTGTTAATAACTCCCTTGCTTATATGTCCTTCGCCGAGCTTGAGGCACCATTCTATAGAGTGAGGTTTAACTTACAAGAGGCGGACCCAGAGTCGAAAGTGCGCAGTGAAGTAAGCTATACATTATCTGAATCAGCGTGAGACGCTGATTTCAAATCTGTATCCATTATCTGCCAAGCGGTTCTCTAAAAGGAGTTATGAGCCTCGGTTGCTCGTTGACATGTCAGGTTTCGTCAAGTAGGATCCGCACCTGAAAACTAGATGTGGTCGTCTGGTGTAGTGGATAAGCGCGGAGCCTATGGAGCAGATGGTCGAGGGTTCGAATCCTTTTCGGCGGCTAAAACCTTGTTGAAAAAAAAGTTGCGAAAATCTCAACTTTTCAGCAGTAGATTATGATCTGAAGTCCGTACATGTGCGCGGGATACCCCTTACAGCGCAAAACAAACATATTCTTAACTTGCAAAAATGCTGAACGGGAAAAGGATTCGACCCCTCGACCATCTGCTCCATAGGCTCCGCACTTATCCACTACACCAGACGACCACACCTGGTTTTCAGGTGCGGATCCTACTTAACGAAACCTGACATGTCAACGAGCAACCGAGGCTCATAACTCCTTTTAGAGAACCGCTTGGCAGATAATGGATACAGATTTGAAATCACCGTCTCACGCTGATTCAGATAATGTATAGCTTACCTCATTGCGCACTTTCGACTCTGGGTCCGTCCCTTGTTAGATTTACAGTATGGAGCGAATCATTTACCGCTCTCCATTAGTGTAGGATTACGGTAGGAACTTGGACAAGGATTTTAGGCTATTGAAGGCCACGTTCTGCTTCGGAACAAGACCAAACAAGCCAAAAACTTCTATACTACGGTAATGGAAGTAGCTGATTTCGAATATGAAATTTCCACTTCACTATCATGCCTCTTTCCAAGGTTATCCCAGGTAAACCAAAATAACTGAATTTCCAGCATTTGTCAGAAATGTGAATACACCGTCAAGAAAACTAAAAACTCTCATAAAAAGTTGTGTAATGGAATCAGCGTGCGCAAAAACCCTGGTACACGATTTCTCAGATTTTTTGGAGAAAATTTTGTCAAATGGCATATTTCACTGTAGATCCACATGCTAGAAGTTCATACCGTAATCCTAGAGTAAAAAACAGCGATCGGTGATTTGCTCCATACTACAAATCTAAGTTGAACCGCGCTCTACAGAATGGCACCTCAAGCTCGGCGAAAGACATAAAAGCAACGGAATTATTAACGATCAAGCAGTGTTCACATTTTTTTGGGACACCCTGTATTATTATTATTTCAATTCTCAACTAATTCACATTTTTTCTTGTTTCTTTGGGCGCGGATCCCCAGAGGAAAGCAATAGTCCTGAAACATTTCGTATGTAGAAGCACTGTTCTCTAGTTTCTTGAATATGCTTTCGCTTTCGTAGACATGTGTTTTCCAAGGCTCCCCTCTTTAAGGTTGAAGTAAAATTTGAATTTCATCCCTTTCACTTTAGTGCCCTCTCTCCTCGAAAACTAACCGGAGATGTTCAATTAAATGTGGATGATTATTCACAGTTTGTGTTGATGCTCCAAAAAGTAATTTTTGTAGAACAATGAAAAGGAAAACTCCAACAGAAGTTTGGACTTATGCTGGATAGATGTAATCTCCCACCTTTCCTAGAAACGTGAAAAAATTAGTAATCTCAATTCGTGTAGAATTTTTGTCGAAAAAAGCTGGACATTATTGCTCATTCATTCATCAGCTATAACGATAAAGGTTTGCACTATCCTAACACAATTCAAGATAGGTTATACCCTATCAAGCGGAAGCCCTAAGTTTCTTTTGCTGTTTTAGGCTAGTAAACTTGCCTAATGGCTACATTTGTGCAAACGCTGACATTGTATAGCCAAACGTTCGCTGGTTGGAAATATTAGGTCGGTCCGAAAGTTTGTGCCGTTTTTCGGACCCATGCTCGAACCAGAAGTAATGCAAGACAAATGTTCTAAACAGCTTTCGATGCAGATATATTCCTCTTCCTAAAAGTTATATATTCTTGTTCATATTCGATGCCCGCTCAGAGAATTGCAGATCTTTAAACTCAAGGTTTTCATCCATTATGAATAGGCTAATTTTTGAAATTTCCTCCAACTTTTGAACTAGCTTTGATAGCAGATGGATAGAGTGAACAAAATGCAATACAATGAGCTACTTTTGCCTCTTCAATTAGCTTTTGTGTACTTCTTGAAAGAATTTTTTCCAAAAATCAAACAGCATATGACATAACGCTAATTTCAGCAAACAACTGAGCGTGTAGCGGCTCGATATTCTAATCCGAATTTTCTGTGTACACCGTGGGAAGAGTCTGGAAGCAAGACTTACAACGATTTTATCCCCGAATATTTTACAAATCAGGAAAGAAAGAATTATATCAGAAAGAGTAGAAAAAGCTCTGAAATGACGCCCTTGTTGCTCTCCATTTATTGTACAGGGAAGATTGGGATGCCTGATTATGGGATTTGATAGCATCAGGGAAGTATTTCCGAAGATTTTGAAACGTCGAGCTCGTGTGCTTATACATCGTCTGGGAAATCCGCCTTCTTATTCGGTAGTACGGAGCATTCTCGTCATCTTCTTCCTGAAAAGCTGTCACATGTTTTTTCATAATCCAAATTCATGGTTTTAACCTCGCAATTCTGAATTTGCTGAAGTGTTCGACGCGGATACTCCTCTTCCGATGGGGGCGATAGTTTTCAAACTGCCTCCCATACGTGCCCTGACCTTTCCCAATCGACCACGCCAACCAAGATCAATCAGCTTGATGGGATCCTAACTCGACAATTTCTGACTGAATCGTACTTATAAAATCATTGCTACCCTTATTTCTTTTTCATTGCGCAATCCACATGCCAGACTCGTTCCCATGTGACTTCAGCAGGACGATTAAGACCCTTCACTTAGTAGTGGTTTTCGTGATTCATCCGGGTATACAGTCAACTCCTTATGGCGGAAGACAACGATCTTAAATTCAAACCTCCAACTTGTACGTTCTCAATTTTTCCACAAGAACTAACGAAATGTGAAAAATGGTTGAGTCATAAAAACCCGCCTCATCTATAAGGCTGGGTTCACACTGATCCCCATGTTCCGGAACTGTTCCACACAGTTCCCGCACAGTTCTCGCACTGTGCTGAAACTGTTCCGTAACTGTGCTGGATGTGCCGCAGCCGCCCCGCACCGTTTTGAACGGCGGGAGCTGAAAGATTTTGACCGTTCCAACGGTTTTTCTTCCAAATTTCTCTCATTTTGGCCTTATTCCTCCACCCCGCTTCCCTCTTTGATCAGCAGAACTTCGAACTCGGAGCGGGGTTGAAGAATGAGCGCTTTCCTGCTTTGTGTATGCGGCAAAACGAGTGTCTTGTGCTCGTCCATTTTCTCTTCGCTTTATTTAACTCAGACCTACTCCATTTGTTGCAGGAAGCCGCTGCGTAGTTTCCACAGCCATCTGAAATGATTTAGGGAGTGCGAGCAATTCTGAAATTGCATAATTTAAACTTTTCTTTACAAAAGAGTAAGCTGCATGCAGCTGAGCTGAGGAACAACACACTACTAGAAACTATGATCGCTCAAGGGGCGCACTTAGAAAAATGCTCAATTATTATGAAGAAAAAATAATGCCGGAGTGAAGAATGCTCAGAAGGGAAAAGAGCACGCTGAACCCGCGATTGTACATACGCGCTGCTCCTCCAGTGAAAGAGCGCAAGCGGTTTGAACTATATGCTGTGTCATTATATTGTAATGGGAAAATGCTATGCGTCCAGAGTTCTGATGTGTTTTGTTTTTGAGCATTTCAACCCCTTTCCTTTTCCCATATCATTGCTTCTCCGTTCTTTCTTCTACCCTGCTTCTCCTTGAATATCTCATCAGTCTCAAATTTCCAAGATTTTTGACACTGCACTGTTCCTTGATTTTGAAACGACAAAATTTCCCCATGACTAGAATTGCAAATACTTATCTTCCGATTTAGCCCCAGCTGTCATAATATTCATGTTGGTAGCTATTTAAAATAGGACTGAGTTGAACTGTGATGTTCGATAGTTGAGTACTAGTACAAATTCCGCTCCTTACCGCTACAAAAGTTCAAAAGTCCTAAATTTTAGCCACGTGTCAGTTCACACACACAGCCAGTTCAAAGCGCCGCTTCGCGGCGCTTTGAACTGGTATTGAATAAATAAAGGCATAATTTGAATGTAGATGGCATGCTATGTACTCTCGATATCATCCCATATGTCTTCCCTCAACATGACGTGGATTACGTGGATTGATGAGGCGCCGCCTCGCCTCGGGCTTGCGCCACGTTGCGTGCGCATTTTCGGCGTGATGTGGCAACAAGAAGAACGTGGAAAAGCCTGCGGCACCTTGTGTTGAGCGCCACGTCGCGCCAAATGATGCGCTCGCAACGTGGCGCGAGCCCGAGGCGAGGCGGCGCCTCACCAAGCCACGTAATCCACGTCATGTTGAGGGAAGACATATGGGATGATATCGAGGGTACATAGCCTCCTCCCTTGTGTATAGCTCATGCGAATTTCATCTGAAGTATGTAGAAAGAAGTTTATGCACAGAGATGCCACCGAAGCGAGCAAAAAACAAATCAAGAGCTCACAGGGAAGCCGAGAAGGTGGAGAATGATACTGATGATGTAAAAGGAGTGGCTCTTGATCATAAGATTCTGTTGAACCCCGCTTTCAAGTTGGACGAGGTAATTTTAATTCAACTATTTTTCACTTTTTTGTAATATTATAAGCACACAACTATTGATATTCCGTTGGTCAGTAATTATGATTGCGCTAGACGTTGTAAATGCATTATTTATTTTTAGATCGTTGAGCGCGGTTCAGTGGCTACCATGAAAAGCTGGAGCGCTGTTGTCACGGAACATCTGAACTGGCTTCAATCGCAAAAGGCTGCTCTAAAAGAACTCATGAGAAGTGCGTACGACTTTTTAGCAGCTATTTTTGGTTTTATCCACTACTAAAGTGCGGTTCATAATTATACGAACACCTTATATTTTGAAAGTTTTTGAACTTTTTGGAAGAAACTAAAAAAGCCGTTAGTACCACGCGATAAAGCACAGCCAAAAACGGTATATGATCCGTAAGAATGGAAATCGATGTCAATCTTAGGAGTGTTTTTGCGCCTAATGCGAATTTTGAGCGGTTCATAATTATACGAACACCTCAAAAAGGCCCATTTTTCATTCGCGAGTGCAATCTTTCGAGTCCAAACTTTTGTAGAGTTAAGTAATAATGTCTGAAACATCCGCTACACACTGAACCCAGTGCAGTTGAAAACGAGAACCGTTACTTTTTTCAGAAGGCTCTAAATGCTTTTAAAGTGATTGGACTCCAAAAACACCGTTCTTCTGTGGTTTACGCGCTCTAATTAGCTTCTACCAAAGCTATGAGATGAAATAAGCTCCTTCGATAGGTATTTTGTTTAACGCTCGGAAAATCTTTGCGTTTCCGTGCCGTTTTTCAACCAAGTTCCAACCTTACCACAGAGTTAGCACGATTTCGAGCCTCAAAACTCAGCTTCTCTCTTGCGCAAACATTTGATATGAAGCAGCTGTATTGCTTGCATGATAATGTTTCTGTGCCAAAGTTTTTGGGTTTTTTCTAGAACTGATCTTGCGGCTGTGGAGCTATAAACCAAATAAAGGTGTGATTGCAATAGTAAAAACAGTTTTTCTGGTGAAATGTCTGCGTGACCAAAACAAACCCTCAATGCTGCTGATTTTTTCTAGCCAAATACACTGTCTTCTGAACATCTATGTACTATAAGCTTACTTTATTGTAGGGCTTCAGAAGCCGAGTTTTGAGGCTCGAAATCGTGCTAATTTTAGGGTGAGGTTGGAACTTGGTTGAAAAGCGGCACGAAAACGCATAGATTTTCCAAGCGTCACAAAATACTTATCGAAGAAGCTTACTTTATCTCATAGTCTTGGTGGAAGCTAATTAGAGTGCGTGAACTACAGAAGAACGGATGTTTTTGAAGCGCAGTCACTCCAAAAGCATTTAGAGCAATTCGAAAAAAGTAAAGATCCTTTTTTTGAACTGCACTGGGTTTAGTGTGTAGCAGATATGTCAGACTTTGTTACTGTAACTCTACAAAAAATTTGGACTCAAAAGATTGCAGTCTTGAATGAAAAATGGACCTTTGTTTGAAGTGTTCGTATAATTATGAACCGCTCAAAATTCGCATTAGGCGCAAAAACACTCCTAAAATTGACGTCGATTTCCATTCTTATGGGTCATATACCTTTTTCGGCTGTGCTCTATAGCGTGGTGCCAACAGCTTTTTGAGTTACTTCCAAAAAGTCCAAAAACTTTCAAAATTCAAGGTGTTCGTATAATTATGAACCGCACTTTAGCTGGCATACCCGGCTCCGCCGTATGTTCCGAATAGAAAATTCCATTTCTTAACCGATCCGAACCAAACTTGGCAAACATACACTTCGGGCCCCGGCGGGTGTCACAGTCCACTTTTCGTTATCGATTGATGTCGATTTTATCGATTTTTTGCAAAGAAGATTCAGCACATGCTAGTTTATCTGAGAATATCCATTGAATCCTAAATCAGATCATATTTTCAGGTTGCTTTGTCCACTCATGGCTGAAGGTCAGCTGACGATCAGCTGAACGAAAAATGTAAGGAGTGAAGACGTGGAGGGAACTCTACAATCGCGTCTCAAAGCACTTATTCTTCTAGGATTACAACACTCATCAGTTCCCCATTTTATTGATTTTGTTCCCTTTTATTGGAATGCTATTCTTGAAATGAATAACGGTTAATAAAGATTTTCTATCGAAGTTTATTGTGATGATAAAAGTGGTTCTTTGATTACTATCTGCAAAAATTATGTTTGCATGAACAACTTTATCTCGTCGTCCACTTGTGTAAACTCTAGTTATAATGGCATTTGAATTGCACATGACTTAGGTCTCTATTCCAGATCATAGCCAATTCGTAGTCCCTATTATAGTTGGAATCGAGTATTCGTACTCGAATAATTCACTCAAAATTTTCTACTATCTTGAATATTCGAGAAAGTCCAATTATTCGATTATTCGAATACTCAAATAAATGAAAAAGGCCTTTATTCGAATACTTTCAACGACTTGGAAAAATGACTTATTCGAATAGAATACTCGACGATTTTTGTTTGTTCGAGAACGTCTTGAAAATTCGATATCCATTCGTTCGAAAAACTCTCAAAATCAATTATTCATTCTTGTAATTTTTGTAGAACAATGAAAAGGAAAACTCCAACAGAAGTTTGGCCTTATGCTGTGATAGATGTAATCTCCCGTCTTTCCTAGAAACGTGAAAAAAATTAGTAATCTCAGTTTCGTAAAATAAAAGCTGGACATTATTGCTCATTCATTCATCAGCTATAATGATAGAGGTTTGCACTATCCTAACACAATTCAAGATAGCTTATGCCCTATCAAAGCGGAAGCCCTAAGTTTCTTTTGCTGTTTTAGGCTAGTAAACTTGCCTAATGGCTACATTTTTGCAAACGCTGACATTGTATAGCCAAACGTTCGCTGGTTGGAAATATTAGGTCGGTCCGAAAGTTTGTGCCGAACCCATGCTCAAACCAGTAGTAATGCAAGACAAATGTTCTAAACAGTTTTCGATGCAGATATATTCCTCTTCCTAAAAGTTATATATTCTTGTTCATATTCGATGCCCGCTCAGAGAATTGCAGATCTTCGAACTCAAGGTTTTCATCCATTATGAATAGGCTAATTTTTGAAATTTCATCCAACTTTTGAACTGGCTTTGATAGCAGATGGATAGAGTGAACAAAATGCAATACAATGAGCTACTTTTGCCTCTTCAATTAGCTTTTTGGTACTTTTTGAAAGAATTTTTCCAAAAATCAAACAGCATATGACTTAACGCTAATTTCAGCAAACAACTGAGCGTGTAGCGGCTCGATATTCTAATTCGAATTTTCTGTGTACACTGTGGAAAGAGTCTGGAAGCAAGACTTACAACAATTTCATCCCCGAATATTTTACAAATCTAGAAAGAAAAAATTATATTAGAAAGAGTAGAAAAAGCTCTGAAATGACGCCCTTGTTGCACTCCATTTATTGTTCTGTAAAGATTGGGATCCCTGATTATGGGATTTGATAGCATCAGGAAAGTATTTCCAAAGATTTTAAGAAGCCAGCCAGAGAAGCCAAAAAATGTATTGCACCGCATTTTGTTTGATCTAGAAGAGGAAGAAATTTTGCATCGGAAGCTGTTTGGAGCTTTGTCTAACATTACCATTGATTTGATTATGGTTCCGAAAACGGCACGAACCTTCGGACCGACCTAATACTATACATGAAACGTACAATAATTTTGAATCAAATGCTGAGACGCCAGCTTCTTCATTCCTTTTTCAAATAGAGAGTGGATACTGCAAATTCATTTTATTCCAAATAGCTTCAGAAACTGAGACTTTCCTTGAGGAAAATCTGCACGTTTGACCATTTGAATCTTGTAGTTTGCGGATTGATTGCGTATGGATCATACTGAACACGATTTTTATAGTCGCAGTCTGTATCCGACTGCAGAAAACAGGTATTAAATCTTGATCATCAGAAAAACCATTTTCACAGCAAAACCAGTCTAGAACCAAGACCCTTAGAGCAGATCTTTATAGAAAATTTAACACGAGATTGCACAAGTTTTTAAGAGCTATTTCACAGAGCATAAGGCCTGAGAATTGGTTATAATGGTTATCTGCTGGATCTCTTTTGGTATTTTGAGAATCAATAAAAATTAAAGATTAGTCACAATACAAGTTTCGGCAATTAATAAGATCCTATGACTGGATTTTGTTACTAGAAAGAGGAGCTCGCTGGATTAATTAAATTCTAGATTTTTTCTAAATTGCTCTTTGAGATTTGTTATCAACTCATCAGATATGGTTGGTAAAGCATTCAAGGTGACTTAACATTTACTAAGAGTAAGAACTCATCCTCTACCCTTTTTGAACTTCTTATATCGCTGTGAGGTCATATGTCAGCATTACAGTGCAAACCTAATTACTTTGCTATATGTACTCCTTTCGAATGCTGCTTAGATAAATACAGAATAATCAGATCAGCCAAAAATATCTTTGCGTAGTGCGACTGCAGATGACTGCGCTTGAACATAAAAATTTCTGACTAGCACATATCTGCTATATACAGAAGCCCTCTACGTCAATATTGTCGAAATTCAGACTTCTCTTTACCCTAGTCCGCTTGCTGCAACCTGCTACTTCCTCTTTCACCTGATGCGGTACTGTACTTTACTTATTTGGCAATCTTTGCTAAATACAAGGCTTACTTCATTCTTCCCAAAATTTGTGCACGAACACTGGCAAAACTGCTGAAAACTAGAGAACTTTACTGACAAGTCTTGAGTCAAAGCTTTTCGAAACATTCATACAAGTAATCACAGATCCATAATATACCAAACATTACTAGTTTCCATAACCGATTATTTACAGAAAGACGTTTTTGTTTCATATCAAGTGAGACGTACACATACCTTTACTGAACTGACCCAATGGAACTTCATTCAATTTTTAAAAAAATTTAATAATAGCGTGGCTCGCCACACAGTTGTTCAACTCATAAATCCTAGTTTTCTTATGTTGCTTATACACATTTGATGATCTCTTTCAGTTCACACAGTCGATAGATTGCTAGAAACAGCATTACCTTTATAGCTTATCGCTGCTTACACCTGCTAAAAGTGATATGTATATATGAAAAGATTCCGAGTTCGAGTAAATTGCTAAACCAAATACCAGACATGACCTTGTAGCGAGTTGCTTTGGTAGGTATTAGTACTGCTTTATCTACCACAGTTTTAGTCATATTGACTTCTTTTTAAAAAATGCATTAAATTGAATTGCTTTGATATTCTTACAGACTAGACATAAGCGTTAACAATGGGACGTACAACATGAATACTAAATCAGCA